GCCCTGGGGAGGCCACATCTGGAGTGCTGTGGCCAATTCTGAGCCACCCAGTTGAAGAGGCACTACTGGAGAGAGTCCAGCAGAGGGCTACTAATCACAAAGATGATGAGGGGACTGGAGCATCTCTTTTATGAGGAGAGGCTGAGAAACCTGGGGCTCTTTAACCTGGAGAAGAGAAGACTGAGAGGGGACCTTATCAACACTTATAAATATCTAAAGGGTGGGTGTCAAGAGGATGGGGCCAGGCTCTTCTCAGTGGTGCCCAGCGACAGGACAAGGGGCAACGGGCACAAACTGGAGCACAGCAAATTCCATCGGAACAAGAGGAAAAACTTCTTTACTCTGAGGGTGACAGAGCACTAGGACAGGCTGCCCAGGGAGGTTGTGGAGCCTTCTACTCTGGACATACTAAAAATCTGCCTGGACATGGTCCTGTGCAACCTGCTGTAGGTGAACCTGCTTCAGTAAAGCGGGTTGGACTAGATGATCTCCAGGTCCCTTCCAACCCCTACCATTCTGTGATTTCATTTATGAACCCCCTAAAAATAAGGGTTCCCTTCAGCATGTCTGTCATGTAAAAGGAACTTTAACACAAGGTAAGGGGCGTCACTTTGTTCTAATTCGAGAAATGTTGCTTCCCGCTGAATAGAAAGGTAACAAAGAACTTGGAAGGGAGGAAGGAGACTCTGCTGGATTCTGTATGGAAAAATGTCACACACGTGAAAAGAACTGAAAAGCAGAAAAACTGCTATAATATATCAACCAGTGTCAGTTGTCAGAGGCAGCTGTCAAACAAAAGTGAAGGGACAAGGATGAGGTAAAGGCAAAAAGTAATTTATTTATACATCATTATTCCAGACATTCAGTAATATTTCTTTGGAGAAAGCTTTATTACCCTAAAGCAGGGAAAGGAAGAATAATTTGAGATTGTTTTTTCCATCCTCTGCTAGTCATGCAACTACTTTAACATTAATATTATCCTTAAAAATTGTGCGTCGCAGCAGCGGATATTTTCTCCCTCATTTCAAGACCTTTTTAGCTATAATGGGCCAATGGATGAATTTTTCAAAGTGCTACTGTTGTGACAGTGAAGATGTATACTGCTGCTGATTGATATGCAGAATGGCTCCTTTGTGAAAACAGGATTCTTTGAAATGGAAAAATAAAACATTAATCTTTTAATTAATACCAAGCTAAATTAAGATGTGGAAGATGGCTATTCCTTCGACAGCTGATCCTGGCTTCTATTTCACAGATACAGGCCTGAGCACTTCAACCTTGAACCACGCAGTAATTCCTCTCTACTCACATTCTTTATCCACTAGATACACTGCCACTGCGCCTGCTATATCCCTATTTGCCCTCAGCTTCCAAAAAGGCCTTTAGCCTCTTTTTGACCCCACAGAAATGATTTGGCACTGGTGCACTGGGATAACTCTCTCCAGATGAAAAAGCTCAAGAAAATGCTCCGTATCTCAGGCCAGACTGCTTGTACCCTGTAAGCCCTTCTGCAGCCCCCTCTCTCAGAAAGGGCATGGAAAACCCTGCAGCTGGGAATCAATCAGCTTTGTATCAGCATTCACTAGAGCATGAACAGGACAAGCAGGTGAAAATGTTTCCATTAGTCCATATTTGATACTACATCCTAAATTTCAACATTTATGATTTTTTTTTTTTTATTTGCCAGTTAATTTTAGTACATTCTTTACCATGGCCCCAATGCCATCGAAGATATTATGTAGTTCTGTTTCACACATAAATGCTGGTGTAGTCACCACCTTGTTTTTTGTATCCACATGAGCTTCGTAAAAGGAAGTTAAGGAAAACACAGGCTAGGTCTCACTTGCAGATGCTGTCTGCAAAATAAACCATTATTGCCAAAACCTCACAACTCCACTATCCTACAAAAAAGCACCTCCAATTATAGTGTCCAGCTGTAAAGACAGCTGCAACCTATAATCCAAGATACTGGAAGCTGTTTTTGCCAGAAATACAAAAGCTGCAAGAGCAATCTATGGGAACACTCAGAAACACAAGAAAACGTACGAAATTTACTGACTGTAATAAAATGTCTCTGAGTACAGTTTGATTACAGCACTAGCCTTCAGCAAAAGAAAAGAATAATCTCAAAGAGAACTGACCGGTTGTAACTCGTGCCAGTTTTATGTGCAAATTCACTCAGCATCTACTGCATTACTGGGTGTCCAAGGGAGCTGGATGTATGGCAACAACTGGGAACGACTTCAAACTACACAGCTGTGTACAGAAGACAGTGTTTCTAACCGTGCACTGGTTTACAGGCCGTCTGCTATACACTCCGTATTCCCACTAAACTGTAAGTGGAAAAGCACAGATCCTGCCTGTCTTCATTACCGTAATGACGCATTACTAAACCATCTCTCAACATGGAAATTAACAGGAAAGGATATAGTTACTTCTTTCACACAATGCTTTCCTCCCAGTTCTTTAATGGCTCCTGCAGTCCCAGCATAAGGCCACTTTCCACCTTCCTCTTCTTCATGGCCCACAGTTACTTCAGCACCAGAGAGAACCTTTGCTGCCAACACTGGTGAAATGCAGCAAAGACTGCAACAAAGGGAATCAGAAGAGCAATTCTACAACGGTACTCTTTCAAAACTTGGTCATAATTGAAGAGGTCTTACAAATGTGAAAGACATCACAAGGCAGCTGCCACTCAGCATTTTCTTAGCTTGTTCTTTGACCAACACCTACACACACATGCATCTTGAAAAACACATTTAAAAAAATAAGCTACGACTGATACAAAATGGAAGAGGCTTTTTCTAGCTCCAGCAACAACAGCTGCACATTTCAAAAAAACATACATTGTCTCCACACTCACACTACCAAATGCCCCTCCAACTAACATACGTACCCAATAGGTTTGCCTGCTTTGTGGAAGTCTTTCAAGACGCGTTCAACTTCTCCGTTCACCTTGCAATCTTTCCCATCAACAGCAAAGGTAGATCTGCCACAACAAGAAACTTTATACATAGCTCAGTATAAACCTACAAATAGAGATACCTATCTGCCCTGAGACTGGCTCTCAAGGGCCACCACAAACTTAATAGTCTCTAAAAGGTGATTGGAAAAGCCTGCTGTCGACCATCAATGCTTTAGCCAAAATGACTCACTCACAAGGCTTTGGTATGTCAGAAAGTTTCTTACTTGATAAAAACATCCAGAAATAAGAATTATCAAACCAGCTTTCTAGTCTTACTGAGAAGTGGAACAACAATGTTTTCAAAGAAGAAAAATACATAAGAAGAGAACGGAACATTCAGGTTTCTCAAAGCCAACAAAATGGCTGGTAAATAACAAGATAATCAGTATTCCACACAGCTAACATTTTTTTCTCCTTTTTCTTTTGAGCTAGCCGTTGTTTTATTGTTATTAATGCAAGAGCAGTCCTTTTGGTAGGCAGACATGAAGAAACAGAATAATAACACTAGGAACACCTGAAACTATTGAAGTTTTACCTTCACTTCCCTCAGTCAAGCCCAAAAAGAATCACCACAAGCGTGAGGGGAAAAAGGACTTCTTCTGCATTATCTAAACTCCAGAATCCTTACCAACATGGTTCAGGTAAATTTAAAATGTGACAATGCCAATAAGAATTACGACTGGAAACCATCATGAACAGCACAACTTAAGTCCAACTCTTTGAAAGGAGTCTTCCTCACAAAGCAGTGCTTATGTATGTAGTAAATAAGGCCATTTATTGCTTCCTAATCTTATTGTGTGAATCACAGTTGATTATGAATAGTTGATCATGAATATTTAGTTGAGGATGCTTAGTTGGTACTCACAAGTTTTTAGCGGCTCCAAATCCACCAGGGAATATCACAGCATCATGGTCTGCTGTAGTAAGCTTAGCCAGGCTTGCAATTTTACCACGAGCAATCCTTGCAGATTCTACCAAAACGTTCCTTGAAGAACCAGAAATAAAACAATGAGATGAATTAAGCACTTGCACACAGGAGAGCATAAAGGAAGAGCAGGGGGAAGAACGGAGGGAACAAGAAAAACAGCGGTACTCAGTAACTGAAGCTATCAATGCTTCTGAAATACTACTGCTGGGAAACACAGGCATTAGGAGACTGTATATAATCAAGTCCAGAAAATTTGTTTAATATTTCCTCTCCAATCAAAACACCAGCTAGCATAAAGCTACTAAAGCCAGTCACCAAAGTGCTACTCGTGCAGTTACAGGCTGCTGTGTCTGAATCATGCCTAAGAGACTGAGACTCAGCAGTCATGGAGAACACATTAAACACTGACTTTACCTTGACTCAGCTTCAGCTGGTTGCCCTTTACTGTGGTCAATGACATGCATTTGAGGAACATCTGGAGCATACATCTGAACCTCAGCTCCCCCACGACTAAGGTGTACCAGTATGCTAGAAAAACAGAGATGAAACATGATGAAAACCTTATAAGAGGCTTTATCTGGCCCCTAAGTCTTGCTACAAATATTCCACCACCTGCTTTTGAAAGAAGAGGAAAAACACACATCCTGCCAGAACGTGTAGCAGCAACATCCCTGTATGTAACACCACAGTGCAAAGCAGAACAGAAAGTCACTTTGGAGGCAGGGTAAGGTAAGCTAGAGACAAGTTTCTTATGCTCTTACGCAGGCAACCAGGAACAATAAAAATTCCTTTTTCACTGCAAGTCTCCAAGTGTTACAGAAGAGTCCCACAATCAATGTACTTATGTGTACATCTAATCTAACTCCAGGTGAAACATCCTGGCAATTAACACTAAGAGTTTATAATCCAACTTTAGTATTAACAATTCTAGTGCTAGATTTACCTCCAGGAACAGAAACTCAAAGCAATTATGAAATCAAGTCTTTACTTAACTCTCTTGGGATTGATTCTGGAACTCTGAATTTCTGTTTCTGAAGGAAAAAGTCTCTCTCAAATTCATTACTCTGGCACGGCATGCATTGTGCTGCACCTTTGGGCAATCATGAGTACTGCAAGAATGTGGCCTGAGCTCCCAATTAGGCTGTCAGAAAACTGTGAATCTTCATCATACATCTTTCAGGGCAATTCTGATAGCCAGAGAGAGCAAAACTGAATTCAACAGTCTGCTGTAATGGAAAGGAAACTTTTTCGGAGCCTATAGTTTCATAAAGCAACTTACGCTGAGGCCTCATGGATTTCTGTGCCATCGTAGACACCACAACCAGAAAGGACCTGCAGTAAGAAAATCAAGAAGTATTTCAGGTGATACTAAACTTCCTAGGGGATCTTTCACAAGCCTTGTAAGATTTAAAAAGAAAAACAAACAACAACAAACCTCCCTCTACCCCCCAAAAAAAAAACAACTTAGCAACAAGCTCTACTAAGCCAGTCAATATCACGCTATCAGCACTGGTGTCGTCATTTGACATACTGCAGAACTGGCATTTCCTATTTATAGCAAGCCATCACAGACAGCTCTCAGAAATAACTAATATTTATTTATTGGCTTGCGCACTTACTGCTCAGAGTTAATAAACTGATGTGAGATATCCTTATGTATGTTTCTGTTGCGCACACAATGGGTTATTCTGAGCATCATACATCTATTTATGACGTGTCTGTATCCGTGTGAAACACCTTCATCCAGATGCACATCAAACAGAAGTGGGACAGAGGTGCACTTTGAAGTAGCACTTTGGATAAACTATTTTACCTGCTGCTGTATTTTGTCTGAGGATCCGCATCAGATATCAATAACTACATCCCTTTTAATCCAATTATGCTATATTAGACATACTTGTCCCTATTACCATGGTAATAATACTTTAAGTTTCTTTATACACACTGGAGAATAAAAAGCACAAAGCAATAAGCTATCCTTGTGTGAGTGGAGTCTTTCACAAAGTAGAAGAAAGGAGAGAAAAGATTTTTTAAAAAAACAGGGAAAAAAGTGATCTAGGAACAAAGCAAAACCAAAAAAAATCCAAAGGAAATTCTAGTTCCTGAAAGTACATCTATGAACTCTTGTGGGGATTTTTTGCTTGGTTGGTTGTTTTCAAAGAGAAAAATCCAGTTGAAGAGAGCCCATTTACTAACTTTACTCTCTTCCCTCCCGGTTTTATCTCAGCTTTTTAGGAGCTTTAAAGTTTGTAATCATAAACAGAAACTCACAACTGAAACTATCTTAGTTAGAAACATTGGACTCAGAGGCTTTCAGACTACAACACCCTGCTCTCACAGGCATGACAGCCTATCATCACTTCACCAAATGAGTAAGAATCATGAATGTTCTTCTGTCCGTGTTAATCCCAATTACAATTTTCCTGCTCTGATATTTAAAAGCTGCCTTCTACTTTCCAACTCTTTATATTTCACTTCATTTAGAGTGAACAAACATACAAGCAACTGTGCTTGTCTGTAAAGTTATCTTCTGTAAGAAATACTTTTAAAATGTTTTTGAAACTCACTGAAACCAAACTCCTAAAACACTATTGTCTTGTTATTTCAGTACCTGCTTGGTGACAAATCTGTCTTCTACCATAGTCAGAAATTTATGTCACTAATGTCAACAGCAACATTTGTTTACCACTCTCCATTTAAAAAGCTATCCTTTGCTAAAACAACAGCATTCCTGGTAAGTTACCTTTTAGACATTTGGATAGGTATTCTGCCCATTCCTGAACCAACACTGCCCCATACAGATTTCTTCATGCACGTATTGCCTTCTTTCTTCTTTACATTTCATGCTGTCAAGGCTATAGAACACTCAAGCTTCAAAGACTGTCCACTGAGCTCCAAAACTGTGTATCCATTTGAGACCTTATCTACAGCCCAAATTTTCCTTTGGCAACCTGTAGCTCCTCCATCTCCTCACTTTCTTTTGTATTTTTAATATGCTCCACCTCTTTCGTGCAGAAGGGCATAATCTAGTTTATATATTTTCCTGTTGTCCTGGTTTTGGCTGGGACAGAGTTAATTTTCTTCCCAGTAGCTGGTATAGTGCTGTGTTTTGGATCTAGAATGAGAATAAAGTTGATAACACACCAATGTGGTTTTAGTCACTGCTGAGCAGCGCTTGCACTAAATCAAGGCCTTTTCAGCCTCTCACCCCACCGGTGAGTAGCCTGGGGAGCACAAGAAGTTGGGAGGGGACACAGCCAGGATAGCCGACCCAAACTGGCCAAAGGGATATTCCATACTGTATGACATCATGCTCAGTATATAAGTAGGGGGAAAGCTGGCTGGGGGCTACTGCTCTGGGACTGGGCGGGCATTGGTCGGCGGGTGGTGAGCAACTGCATTGTGCATCACTTGTTTTGTTTTTTCCAATTCTTTTCTCGTTATTATTATTATTATTACTGTTTTTATTTCCCCTTCCTTTTCTGTCCTATTAAACTATCTTTATCTCAACCTACGAATTTTACTTTTTTTTTTTTCCCCTCGATTCTTTCCCCCATCCCCCTGGGAGGGTGGGAAGCGAGTGAGCAGCTGTCTGGTGTTTAGCTGGGTTAAACCACGACCCCTGCGCACTGTCAGTACCACCTCCCCCAGTTACACTGCACACTATTGCAACTCCAGCCCAGTAACAACCATACAAAAGCCATTTTTTACGTGTTTCCCACTCCTGGTTTGGCTTCCTCCAAGTTACTCAGTTCTAAACAGCTTTATCTTCTCAGTACCAGCTTCTCCCAGGGCTTGTCGGCTGCCGC